TGGCTCTGACCTATTTGCTGACCCTATCTGGGCCCACCCGCCGTCGAAAAGACAATGCTTGGAATGTCAAGTCCGAGCTCCAAAGTCCTGATGCCCTTCCCTTTTTTTAAATACATTTCGGGACAATGGAAAAGAAAATGGAAACTGTATAAAACATTAAGCAATGCAGTAGCATTGTTGAAAACCCAAGTTGGGAACCGGACAAATGCAAAAGGGCTGTCAACAGAAATGCAATGCTCATCAATGATGCTACCAATGGCGAATACCCTTCTTTGGTCCTCTGAATTCGAGCAGTTTCGTTTTCATGGTTACTGAGAAATCAAGAGAAGGAATTAGTGTAAGTCTTTACGCAAGGCGAAGTAAACCAAGTGACAATCCGCGCTCCTGAAAATTAGGACACTGCACCCCCGTTCAGAGTTTAACCAAATTTGTGCGGGTGATTGGTTTGTTTTCTTGTTGGGAGGGATTACATGCAATGCTTCTCAGGGTTTCAGGTTCAAGGTTTAGGGTACAGGGTGTTCAGGATTTGGGGTTCAGGGGTCAAGCTTAGGGTTTAGACCGGTTGTGTAAAAAAATGTGTGTATGCAGTGGGGTTCAGGGATTCGGGTTTAGGGTTAGTTGAGGAGGTATTGCAAAAAGACCCCACAGAGTATATGGATCACCACAATTCGCCCCTAGTCACCAAGCATTACAAAGGGCGACTTAAACAAATTGGTACGTGAGTGTTCCTATAAATTGGGGATCCTTATAGTGCACCCCAAGGCACAAAACTTCTTATCAGAGACATCCCCATGGTGGAAACCTCCATGTGTGCTGAGCAGGAGACCGTCCTGGAGGGACTCGGCCACTGCGTCTTTCACGGGCTCCTCTGCAGTCTCCATGTCTAATTAGGACGATAAGGGCTACACTGCTTCTTCGTTGGGATACTATTACACATAAGAATGTTGCGTTCTGTGCCGTGTCGGAGGGGTAAATATAGAACACCTTTCAGCAATGACCCAGTATAGGGTAGTCATCATTATGGCAGCCGCAGCACTAGTGGTACAAGATGGAGGAGGATTTCAGTTGTTTGTAAAGGTTTTCATGCAGGCATTCCTGCCCTCTGTCATCGGAATAATTGCAGGATAAATTATAGCTTCCATTTTCTTTTCCATCATCTCAGAATATACGATATACTGTCTACAAAGTTCTGTCTTTTGAGATGCTACCTGGCACACAGGCCGGAAGCCTGCACAGCACGGCCATATGTGCGCAAGGTCTTCTCGGCGTCAAAGGAGAACAAATAACAGTAATAATAGTAATGGTAATAGCAATAGTAATCCAAAAGTTGTTGCGCTTGCCTCCTTCTGCCTCTCTCTCTCTTTCTCTCTTCTTCTTCTTCTTTGATCTTCTTCTTCTATAGGCTATGCGAATCCCGAAGGCCCCGCTGGGGCTAGACCCCAGGCCGCGCACGGTCTCTCTCTCTCTCTCTCTCTCTCTGTCTTTGTGGTAGCCTCAGAAAAAATTGCCTGTGCTCGCATATACTGCCTCGCAGTACAAACCACATGAGACACCGAGACTCCATCTTTTCACAATTGCGTAGGCGCCGTATACTGTTGACTCCAGAGGGTAGACCAGCCACGAAGAAAGGTACCCCTTCACATTTGGACACTACCATTGGCGCCCCGCAGTTCACTAGGCAGTGCCTCCTTTGGCAGCGCGCTGCCTTGGGCCAATGCAGTTTGGACTGCAGCATTCCGGAAGGCTTGGACGCTTCACCCAAACCCGCACTGCACTCTTGTGCTGATACGAGACAACAGTGCGAACCCACTGAAGAAGCCCTAAGCTGGTTTAAGTTAAATGAAGGAGCAGCATGCTCCTTGAAACAAAAGCCATGGTTTGAAGCAGGCGCGAAGGTTCGAACAGGACAGAAGGACGCACTTCTTTGCGACTACCCGGCTAAACCCAACACCCCAAACCCAATCAAAACCTCCCTGAGCCCTTGTACATCACGAACGCACAGCCCAAAATGAAGCCCGAAGGATTGGTGGCAGGGATTGTGTCGGGATTATGTAATTATAGGGGATATATGGGGCTTTATGATATGGCCATATAGGGTTGCATGGGGTTATATACGATTGAAGTTCCCTAACTTATGAAGGTCAAGGGGCCATCTGCCGACATGAGGGAAGCTGCCGGCGACCCGAGGAGCCTTACGAGGGCGGGAATGTCAAGGTTGTGCGCTTACTCGACCCATCAAAACCTCGGAGGGACTACCTAAACCCTAAAAGTATGCAAAATAATGGCCCTGAACCCATAATAATAGCCATAAAGGCCATTATTTTACTTACTTGTGGGGTTCAGGTAGTGGCCTCCTCAGTTTTCTGAGGTGCCACGTTTGTTACGGGCATCGCTTCGCGTTTGCCCCGTATTGAGCTTTGTGCATCCCGAACTCGACAATCTGCCAAAACCTCCTGATACGTTGATGGTAGAAAACCTTCATGAATTTGATGTTGTGAGCACCGTCTTACTAGGTTCCCCAGTAACCCCTTTATGATAAGGGTACCCTTTTTACTACTATTCAGTTTTAATAAGGAGAAACCCAAATAAAAAGGGCAAAAGGGTACTACTGGGGTACCTAGCTTAAGACCCGTAATGAACAGGGTCTTATGAAGATTGATAGCTCTAGAAGGCTTCCAACAGCACAGCGCAATTTTAACAGTACCAATTCCGCATCCTGTGGGTTTTTGTCAAACAGGATTTAGTCCATCAACACTGTCAAACTGGCTGTCTCTGCTACATACAAAATTAAAGACAATGAATCCTCTCCCTTCAACAAGAGACTGCACTTTTATTTTCAGGTCGGACGACACATGGTACTTTCCCTAAATGGGGGGGGGTACTCAATATAAACCCCCAAATACCGTAGCCATTATTGGGGAAAAAGGTACCGCAAATTCTGGGAATCTGCAGACCATGCGGGAAACCTTTTGTTAAGCCTTGTGATGGCAACACATACTCTACTGGGGGGGGGAGGAATAAGGAGTTAGGGAATGTACTATACAGGGATTATTTAGGTGGAGCCCCCACCCTGTAATGGGTCCTCCTAAGGGATTATATTCCCTTGTTCTCCACTTACCACCAGTAAGAACAGGGAGAGCTCTAAGGGACAAGGACCGTTCAATTCAAGGGCCCAACCCTAACTTCCATGCAATCCACAAAATGAGGGCCTCGCCAACATTAACCCTACGACTCACTGGCTTAGCAGGGCACCAGGGAATATTTAAGCCCTGTGTACTTTATTCCCTTATTCCCTAGTAAACCCAGCAATGAACTGCTGAGGTGTACCAGGACGAGCCTGGACACCAGCAGCAGTTTTTCAGCATGCACTCGCTGCGCAGCTTGGCGCCTTGGAACTTCGTGCTTTGCCCGGGGCTGAAACATACTTTGCAGTTAAGTATGTACGAAGCAATTCCTACGTTGCGCTGCAGGGTTCAGCATCCATCACAACCAGCAACTCTGAAAAAGAAAGCTGCTCATGCCTACCGCGCAAAAAAAAAAGAAGAAAAGAGCAAACACAACCCTGAACCCTCAACCTTCACCGTAGCAGCAACAACAACAACCTCAATGGATGCTTGCGATGTCCCCAAACTACCTTTTCCCAGAAAAAGTAGACAAGCTGACAAAGCCTATACCATACTGGTGCCAGATATGTCACTTACTCAAGCTTCTACATGATGTCAACTGAGCTTGCAGATATTTGCCGGCAATACTGGCGGAAGCTTTTCCTTTCTTGGGCTATCAAAAAATGTTATTGAGGATGTTGGCGTTGCTTGGCTGTTGATGCCATTCCCGCCACTTAATCAGGAGCACTTACAAAGATGCCGGGGCCGTGCTCACTGGACATGTGATTGCTACGGCATGACACCTCATATGGGCTACAGTCAGTCTAAACTCCAGTAACCCTCCTTTTTAGCAACTCTTACAATACTCCTCCATATAACACTCTGTAATTTAAGGAGTGCAGACTAGGCCAAACTGATAGTATCCCAGGTAATAACCCCTAAAGTAGTCCCTTCTAAAAACCTCCTTTAAAGGGGTTTAGACCCTAAACCCTGTATAGGCCCCTACATAACCCCTTTAAGAATGTAGACTATAGCTCACATGGATCTGCTCACCCCTTCTTTTCATCTGAGCACCAAACGCAAGTGCTCTGAAGCGACTCTGGTGCAAACTCGGCATCCTCCAACGGACTGTCATCAACAGTTTCGGATGATATATAAGTATATCTAGGGGTATATATATATATATGAATATTTTGAATGTGTTTATTTACATGTGTATATATATATATGACATATTGGCTCGTACGTATATCTATATATATATATAGAGAGAGAGAGAGATATATATATATATATAGGGTTTAGGGTGTAGGGTGGGCGAGCTAAGCTCGCCACCGGCCGTGGTTGCACGCAGCCGGAGGATTCTGAAATTCATTCAAAAAGTCAAAAAGTTTCACTTTTCGCAAAAAGTTGCACTTTTCGACTTTTCAGGCAAAAATTCAAAAAGTCGCACTTTTCGACTTTT